AAGGACAGATGCCACGTAACTGAGATGTCTGGTCATCCAGGGTGCTCAGGTACTACATACAGAGGCCCAGAGGTGTGTGTCAGGAAGAGGAATGTGAATGGCTCCCATAGATCTCGCCTCTTCACACTGTCTCATCTAGGACAGCTTTTTCCTTAGGATGGTGGCAGGAAAGCAAATGACTCAGGATGAAGCAATTCAATGGAAGGAAAGCCTACACCCCCACAAAGGCAAGGTCTCAAATGTGCAAAGTAGAGACCACCTAGTGAGGGGGCAGCTGCTTCTCTTAGCAGTGAAGCTGTTTTTCCAGAACCTTCTGCCTTAAGCATTGCCTTTTCTCTTGTGTGTGTCCTCCGGGGTGAAGATCAGCAGAACCCCTGTGGTGCTATCCATTCTGCTTCCACAGTGGCCCAAACTGACAGAGCTGGGAGGGAGGGTCCATTAGGTACAATTGTTTTAAAAGTGTGTTTACTCATTTGTGCAGGCCAGTTCTTACCCAGAGTGGTGGAGCTTAATGAGGCCTCTCACTATCAATAGTCAGGACCACCTTTGAGTTAGCGCCATGGAAGACCCCTTGCCTACATCAGTAGGACCCCTGTAATGTGCCCAGATAGTATGCTGCAGATATGTTGGTTTCTCATATTTCATTATTTACTAAAGGGTCAGGGATGTAGTGGACACTGGTGGTTGTGGAATGTCTAACACGTATCCTTCCCCCTGGCTAAAGCACATTGACCCTCTCTTTGGAGAACTCCTTCCCATGCATTGTTGTGGAAAGTACTATTGTGTCCGTCCCCTCCCCCCCACCATAGAAGGCAAAAGAGCCAGAGCTTCCATCACCCCTGTGCAGGTGGGTTGAGGAGCTGCAGCTGTAGGCCACATGACCTAGGCAGGACTGGGAGCCAGTGACCAGTGAGAAGCAGTTGGCTGTCAGGGCAGATGGAGGCCATTCCCCACAGGCCCCGCCGCTGACCTCTGCATAGTGTCTGTGGCCTCACTCTCTGAGGGTGCCTAGGGTGCTGTGTTCCAACCAGATCATCCACCCTCATGGGCAGCCCCCATTCAAATTTAACTTTGAATCTATGTTAAGCTACTTTTTAAGACAGTAATTAAAACGTTTACAACAGCAAGTTACCTTTGAGGAGGATAGTGGCTGGGAGAGGGCATGAAGGAACCTTTGTAAGAGGCCAATGACATTCCATACCTTCATTTGAGTAGTGATTTTGAGGGTACTGGCATAAGATTATGCAGCAGCGTGGATGTACTTAATGCCATTGAACTCTACACTTAAAAATGGTTACAATTTCATGTATAAATTTTGTTACATATTTTTTAACCACCATTTAAAAAAATAGGTTAAAACAGAATTCAAAATGCTGCTTTAAAACTATTTCAATAAATAGGAGATAAACACACTAAAAAAACCCAGCACAGGCATAAATTAAAAATCCACCAAGATTTATACCCTTTACTGTATATAAATTATACCCTAATCAAACCAAGAAAACAAACAGAAAACACTATTATGTGCCAAATTATAAAACCCTGGCAATCCCCAAGCTTCCTTGGTTTCCCAAGGTGGCATTTTATCTCATTTTCTGCAAAACTGGGGACACAGCCCCTCCTGCTAGAGCTTGACCCTGAGATTTGAAGGCAGCTGTTCAGAATCTCTTAGCACTGGCAACAACATATCTATGTGATTCAGATTATTTTTCCATTCTGTGGAATCAAAACAAATATGAAAATAAATTGGATGTTGGAATGACAAAATTATAGAGTTGGAATACAGATACATGGTAGCCAGGAGTTAGGGAAGGGGAGGGAGAAGGAGATTTCACAGGAGCAGCCCAAGGGAGCTACTTGGAGGTGATGGACCAGTTCTGCTCCTGACTGTCCTAGTGGTTGGATGACTCTACATATGCAATAAAATGGCATAGAACCATATGTAAAAACATACCATGAAACAGGTTCATGAAAAAACCAGTGAAACCTGAGTAGATCTGTAGTCTAGCTCATCATACTGTGCCAATCAATTTCCTGGTTTTGGAAATCCACTATGGTTACATAAGATGCAACCATGTGAGGAAGTGTGGTGATAGGGGTAAGAGACTTCTCTGAACTTCTTTGGCAACTTTCAGAGATTCTATAATTACTGCAAAATAAAAAGTAAAAAAAAAAAAACCCACAGAAATAAATTGGATGAGACTTCTATAACCCTAGCTTTCAAAATTTTCTCTTCATGGAATCACCATTGTTCTTATGGATTGACTTGATAGTAAGTACTAACAAATTATGACATGTTAAAACCAAAGCACCATGTAAATTGTTTTTTTTTTTTGTTTCTTTTTTTCTTTTTTTTTAAGGAAGGGATTCATTTCCTTTGTAAAAGCTGAAAATCACTGAGGTATTGGAAAGAGTATGCAATAAGGAAGTACGAGACAGGGCTGAGCTAACCAGCTGTCATATAAAGAACGATTACAGCTGGTCCATGCAATTAAAAGATTTTGTGGAGGAAATGAAACACACACACCTGGGAGGTCATGCAAGGACATAAGATTTCCACAGCAGTGCACAAAGTATCTAAAGAGGAGTGTGTTATGGACTGAATTGTGCTCCACTCTCCTCAAAATTCGTATGTCAGAGTGCTAACCTCTGATATAAATGTATTTAGAGACAGAATATTTAAAAAGATACTTAAGGTTAAATGGAGTCATGAGTGTAGGGTGCTAATCTGACTGTTGTCCTTGTAAGAAGAGTGCTCAGGACACAGACACACCCAGGGAAGACCATGTGAAGACACAAGGAGAAAGGAGGTATCTGCATGACATGGGGTGAAGCCTCAGGAGAAACTGCCTGGGCTGATACCCTGATATTGGACTTCCCATCTCTAAAACCATGAGACGATAAAGTTCTGTTGCTTAAGCTACCCAGTCTATGGTATTTTGTCATAGTAGCCCCAGCAGGTGAATATAAGTAGCAAGGTGATGTGATGTAGGAGAAAGAAAGAAGACAGAACTAGCTGTCTGCTCTTCAACAGGGGATCTGAAATAGAGTACATAATCACAATGAATGGTTGACAGGAAAGATATATATTCAAAACGAAATAAAAGCCAGCTATACATCACATGGAATAAAGCCATGTGATAAAATGCTGAGTGTTCAGAAATGCTGGAATTCCTTCATCTGCATTTATTCATTGATTTGTTCGTTCATCCAATTAACAGTGGTGACTGGGCCTTGCAAGCCCTGTACCAGGCACCAAAGGACACAGGACGGAAGGGCAGAGTATGGCTCTGGCAGGTACAGTCTTCCAGAGAAGGCATACAGGCTTGGGCAAAGGGATGGGGCAGCGTCCCCTCAGGGGTGAGCATGGCCTTGGAGCAGAGGTGCCTCCCCAGCTCAAGTGGAAAAGCTGACTTGCGAACACCAGGAAGGAGTGGCCACTCCTAGAGACAATACCCACTTTTGTAGCTCTGTCAATTGCTAGAGATCGACATGTGTGGGCCTAGCCCCAAGCCAGACTTTGACAGGTGAAGCCCATATCACATTGAAGCTCATTTCACATTGCTTCAGTAGTGTAGTGAGTCCTTTATGGAGACAGCCCCCAGGTAATGGAGCACTGATTGGCTGGTTTCTGATGCTCGTCTCTCACATTTGTTTAGGGGATGGATGAAATAGAATATAAAAAAAATAAAATCATCTTGTAAGCTCTTTGATGTGCCATGAATGCTAGCTATCATTGTACTAGATTTTGAAGGGCCTTTTAAGTCACCTAGTGCAAAATGATTGTTTTAAGGAGATGAACTCAAGGCTACCACCTGGCTCGTAAGTAGCCGAGCCAGAGTGAGGGCTCAGGATTAGTCCACTGCTAGAACTCCCTCCTAGGGAGCACAGGTTTTTAAACATTTGAATCCTACAATAATATTTATCAATCCCATATTGTTTGTCTGCACTTCTAGGCACATTGTATTCGAATCTTGCTGTTGGTGGTGCTGTATTTCAACCTCCTGACAAATAAAGGTTCATGCCATAGTAATCAACACTGGAATCCATCTTCATGTTTTCTCTGTTAACCAAGGACTCCATACCTATGCCTAAAAATTGGTTCCTTATTTTTTTTAAAGATTTTATTTATTTATTCAAGAGAGACAGACAGAGAGAGAGAGAGAGAGAGAGAGAGAGAGAGGCAGAGACACAGGCAGAGGGAGAAGCAGGCTCCTTGCAGAGAATCTGACATGGGGACTCGATCCCAGGACTCCAGGATCATGCCCTGGGCCAAACGCAAGCACTCAACTGCTGAGCCACCCAGGCATCCCCCAAAGACTGGTTTTAATTGGAAGCCTATGACATGTCAAGAACAAGCTAGATACCAATAAGGACAGGAGAGGAGGGAAGATGGCAAACAGGGAAAAGCCGGGGGAGGAAGTGAAGGTAGAGAAGAGAAGAAAGGGAAGAAGGAAAATGTGCCTTGCCAGTGCTGCATGTTGGTGTCAGAACCATGTGACCAGAAAACAATGAGCCTGGTGCCCAGGCTGGGGTAGAGACCAGCTTCACACCCATACAGTCCCACTTTACCTCTTTGGACACTTGGTAATGATGATCGGCACATGTGAGAATAAACCTGGAAGCTCTGGTCTCATGACAACTGTGTAACTCAGTGGGGTCCCCCCTCCTGCATGAGTGACCAAGAGGCTCAGAACCTAATGTGGCTCCAACCACCATCACCTTGAGGCAGCCTGGAGGTGCCCCCCGTGGTTTAATTTTTCCTATCTTCCTTATTAAGCATCTGTCTTGATGTCCTCTACCCTAAGCAACCTCAATATGTATCCAGGGGGGATTAAAAATTGAAGTCAAAGAGGTCAAAGAACAAATTTATAAGAAAAGAGGCAACAGGAAAGGCAGAGTTTGAGAATAAGCTCCTCCAGACTGGAAGTGTTACCAGGTCTCCAGATTATCACAGGGTTCAGCAGCCCCATAAATTATTATTCTGCTTCTAAACTTACCAACCGTGTCACATGGTTCATCTTTGTGTACGCAGAAATCGGTCCTAAAATAAAACAAAAAAAAAAAAACAAAAAAAAAACAAAACCCAGACATGGTCAGGTGTATGTAATATCCTCCAAGACTAGGAGAAGAAAACATTGTCGGTTAAGCTTGATTGGTCATCTTGCACATAGCAATGTTACTGCTTCAGCTGTCATAGCTTATAGCAAAGAACAACTAGTCATTTGTCAAGATTAACCCATTCATGTTCCCAACTGGTAGGGCCATGACCCCACCTAACAGCCCTCCTTTCATAGCTAAACTACTCCACCTAACATTCTGTTGCTGGGAGGGTTCCCTCCAACAACTGCGAAAGTTCTGGAAGATGTTTGCAAGTCATGCATCAGAGCCAATTATTCTTAAACATCGTCAAACTATAGTGACTTCCCCAAGCTACTCTATGTGGGCAGCGACGGGTTTTTTAGATGCTGAAGTGACCATGTAGCACTTAGAGGAGAAGATAACAAAAAGTAATTTCTTTAAGTCATATCCTGGGGAGGGGGCTGTGGCTGTGTGTGAAGAGCAAATATGCTCAAAAGCTGGTCCAGCCCCAGTTCTGCCAGTATAAGGGGTTCACTATGGCCTCTACCCACTCGGCTCTGGGACCTTCTTTTCCAAAACCAGAGCATTCCCAGAGTTAGGGGCTGAGCAGATCACTGGCTGCCTGGAACCGGGTGAGGAGAGCACTGGCCTGGTCCCCCCACCCCACCCCAGGGTCCCATGCTCATCTAGTCATGGGGGCTCATGGGGAGATGACAGAAAGTGCCCACTCCCTTAAACTCCTTCAGGTTTAAAAGCTGTGTTCTGAAGCCACTTCTCATTTTACTTTTAAAGTTCTTCTGGGAAGGAAGATGGGGCCAGCTGGACACTTAGGTCAGCACTAAGCCAAGTTGTCAAAGAAAATGACAGGTACCAGTTGGGCCACCTTTGCTCTTTCTGAGACTCTGTCCTCCCCTACCCTCTGTCAGAATCTCTTCTCAGGAAAGGATCTGACCTGCCGTTCACAGAGAAGGCCTGGGTTACTCTCCTAACCTAACTGTAGAGAGTCATCTTTCCTTATCCTTCAATGTCAATCCGATGCCAACAAACAGCATGTCCTGTTGTATCTACCTCTAGAATGTGACCCACACCTGATGCCTCACAACACTATGTGGGCTCCCAGGGAAATGGCTCACTTGAAGTTTGTCAAAGATTCCACCTGCCTACTCAGACCACAGATTCTACTTGGGGTCCCAATGTACAGAACTGGGTGCTGCAAGCCCAGAGGAGAGGATGTAGTGGCTCTGAAAGTGTGGCCCTGAAACTAGCCAGAGAAACACTGAGGAGGAGCTGGGGCCAGTCTGTCAGCAACCCACAGAGGTCAGCAACTCATCTAGGTTCTACTTATTGCAAGTTTTAATTTTTTCATAACAAACCTGTATGTTTTGATAACCAATTATAAGACCATTTTAACAGAAGGAAAACAGAAGCTTTCAAGAATCCCACAGTTGGGGGGTGGGGGGGAAGGACTGTACTCTTGTCACAATCCCACTCCAAAATCATGAGAACTAAATGGAATATTAGTCAAAAAAGAAATTTTGCCATTTGCAATGATGTGGGTTGAGGTAGAGAGTATAATGCAAAGCTAAATAGGTCAGAGAAAGACAAATACCATATGATCCCACTCATATGTGGAATTTAAGAAGCAAAAGAAATGCTCAAAGGGCAAAAGACAAACCACAAACAGACTCATATATAGAGAACTGATGATTACCAAAGGAGATGTAAGGGGATGAGTGAAATAGGTGATGGGGACTAAGGAGGGCACTTGTGATGAGCACTGGATGATGTATAAACGTGCTAAAACAGGGATCCCCCAGTGGCTCAGTGGTTGGGCACCTGCCTTCAGCCCAGGGCGTGATCCTGGAGTCCCGGGATCGAATCCTGCATTGGGCTCCCTGCATGGAGCCTGCTTCTCCCTCTGCCTGTGTCCCTGCCTCTCTCTCTCTCTCTCTCTCTGTCTCTCATGAATAAAAAAAAAAATCTTAAAAATAAAATAAATAAAAGTGCTGAATCACTATTGGTACACCTAAAACTAATGTAACACTGTATGTTAACTAATTGGAATTAAAATAAATATTTGAGAGATGACCTTTTAAAAGACTAATTAACAGGCAATAGAGGGTGGCAAGGAAAAAGCAGTGGCAGACAGAAAACCAAACAAATAAAATTAGGGACATACATATGCTCAGGGCTCTGGCATCTATCTGACTCTAACTCAACACTCTTGATCTGACATCCCTCCTGTTTGAATGTTTCAAACCTCTCTCTCACACACACACAAACACACACACACACACACACACACACACACACACACGGATCAAGCTGGCCCCATGCCTTGCTCTAGGGTTTCCCAGAGTGAGCACAACTAAAGCCTGGGCAAAAGGAGAATGCCATGTGACCATCAGTCCCACAGTTAAGTGAACAGAACTTAGTTAAAGATGGTGCCCACTTCACAGGCCCCCTCTTGTAGAAAGTCAGCCCTGCTGGCTGATAGGAGCACCGTGTGTTCTCTCATCCCATGGCTACCCTGAAGGGAAATATATGGTCTCGAATGATAGACCCTGCAACATCATCCATTGCTTCTCCTGAGGAAGTGGGAGAAGTGTGGTCTGCTCACAGAGGGGAGAGCCAAGCTTCCCATCCCCCAAACCCATCTACTATTGCCATCTTGAAGGTCTTTTTAACATGGGGTCCCACATTTCCATTCTGCACCAGGCCCCACAATTTACTTAGCTAATCTTGTACATAACCTATTGCCTGGCATACAATTGGGGCTTAATAAAAAGTGGCTTCTTTATTACTGACAGACATACATTTCCAGGCTACTTTCAACGTGCTCTGTAAGCTTCCCAGTGGCCTCATCTCCTCCATGTCTGGAAACCTGAAAAAATGTAATTCGATGGTCCAGCTACTCACTGAGCTCTCACCATGAGCAAGGCCTGTATGAGACCCCTTCCCCCTTGCTCAGAGGCCAAAGAGAAGACCATTCTGGGGAGCAGGACAGAGTGACATGGAGGGGAAGGGGAAGGTGGAGGCAGGGCTGGGGGTACCTGTGGCTGAGCTCTGAGCTGGCCCTGCATGCTTGCTCTAGGTGCCGCTCAGGAGCACAGACCTGGGTTTGGGGGTGAAATCCCACTCTCATGGCTTCCTACAGGAGACGCAGAGCCAAAGGCAAAGCTGTGCCAGGTGCTGAAGTCCCCTGGACCCCAGTCCTCTGTGTGAGTCCCATGTGGTCCCCAGACTCAGTCCATTCCAAGGTGTTTTCTAGACCCAGACATGGCTGTAGTTGCCAGAAAGCCAGCTTCTGTGGCTTCTGGCTCAGTAGCTTCTGCTGGACATGATGTCATGCTCACCACTCTGGGGCTGGCCAACTGTAGGGCTGGGGGTGTCCAGGAGAATGTGCTCTTGGGCTCAGCCACGGCCCATAAGAGGGGGTGGGGAAGAAAGAAAGAAATCCTTGCACTGACCAGTCTCAGTCCCAGGAGCAGGGGACACGGACCCCTAGACCCCTCCTGGCCCATGCAGCCTGTGATTAGACTCTCAGCTCAGATTATTCCAAGAGGAAGGAGCTGCTTCTTAAGAGCAGCAGCTGTCTCACACTCAATTTCCACGTGAAAATATCAGCCCGTTATTATCCTAACCTAGCAGACTGCAACTCTCAGCCTCTAATTATTAAACAATGCCTCTCAGCCAACTCGGCTCCCAGCCCCAACTCCGGTGCTGCCTCCCCCGTACTTCTGGGAGGTCTTCAACTTCTCAGCTCTGAGGACCCAGACAGGGAGCCAGGCACTGGCCGATTTGACCCAGCAACTCCGCAGTGGCAGGTGGGAGGAAGGATGATCGCTCAGGTACCACATTAGATGTCAGCGTGAAACTGAGAAAGAACCCCAGCTCCTGGGCTGGCCTCAGGTAATGGATACAGGAGGCCTTTGCTTGGCTCTACCTGCAGCAGAAGGAACCTTGCTCCTTGGGGCCACCAGACACCCCCCACCCTAGCACTTGCACTCAGAACTACTCCCATGCATTTGGGACCACCCCTGCTCCCCTAAGTGTTGAACTAGAAAAGTTTTCAGATTGTATTGTGATAAAATACACATACCATAGAACTCTCTATCTCAAACATTTTTAAGCATACAGTTCAGTGATGTCAAATGCATTTATAATGTTGGGCAACCAAATGTCCAGAACACTTTACATCTTGCAAAACTGAAACTCTATCCATTAAACACTAACTCCCTACTCTCTTCTCTTCAGCTCTACATCCTGTCCCTATGAACTTAACTCTAGAGGTCTCATGTAAGTGGAATCAGACCATATTTGTCATTCTGTGACTGGTGTATTTCATTTAGCATAATGTTCTCTAGGTCCATCCATGTTGTGGCCTGTGACAAGATGACAAGATGTCTTTCCTCTATAAGGCTGAATAATATTCCGTTGTATGCATAAACCGAATTTTGTTTAGCCATTCATACATCAAAGGACACTTAGATTGCTTCTATATTTTAGCTTATGAGTCATGCTTCTGAGAACACAGGTACACAAATATCTCTTGAAACCCTCTGTTTCGGACACCTGGGTGGCTCAGTGGTTAAAGCACCTGCCTTCAGCTCAGGTTATGATCCTGGAGTCCCAGGATCGAGTCCCACATTGGGTTCCCTGCAGGGAGCCTGCTTCTCCCTCTGCCTATGTCTCTGCCTCTCTCCTGTCTCTCTCATGAATAAATAAATAAAAAAAAAAAAGAGAAGCCCTCCTTCCAATTAATGTATTTGGGTTTATACTCAGAAGTAGGATTGCTGGAGCATATGGTAATTCTGCATTTAATATTCTGGGGGAACCTCCATACTGTTTTCCATGGCAGCTGCACCATTTCACGTTCCCACCAACAGTGCACAAGGGTTCCAGTTTCTCCACATCCTGACAACACTCATTACTTTATCTTGTTTTTGGTAGTAGCCCAAACCTAATGTAACCTAATGTGTGTGAGATGTGAAAAAAAAAAAAAAACAAAAAAAAAACCTGACATTTTTACACAATATATTTCCAGTACAGTAAATAAGTTTGTTGGAGGTGGGAAGCAGAAAAGAAAGCCAGAAAGCCTAATTGGCAGCCTTCTCAGGCTGCCAGCAGATGCATTCACATCTGCTGATGGTGCTTTGTGAAAAGGCTAATCCAGAAGCTTTGTCAACACTGATTTCACTAACACTTATTGCCTCTGAAAAATAAAGGGGTGGGGGCTACTCATTTCCCAAACCAAGCACATCCTTGACCCAGACAAGGAATGAAACTGCAGGAAAGAGACTACATACTGAAAGATCTCACAAATGCCAGAATTTGTATATTTTATGTAGTTTTGATATGAACCACTTTCAAAATAGTGATCCTGGAAGTTTAGTTGTATATTCCAAAGATGATGTTATTTGAGGCCTCTTCTTTAGGACCTCACTTAATTAGCATTTGGAAAATTAGTTGTGTGAATTTACAGCCATACACAGACATGGCTCCCAAGGACTCTTCGCTGTTCTCCAAATCTAATCCACTCTCAAAGGGTGCTACCTATCACCTCAAAACTGTAATCCTGAGGATGCTTTCAGAAAGGCCCACAGGTCTCCAAAACCACTTCAAAGTGCCTAGAGCAATGACAACCTCTGGCCAGTGAGCACATGGTGCCAGAGCCTCTGGAGAAGGTGGTACCGAGGGGTTCGCAGCACTCCCTGGGGTAAGCGAACCCAGATCCAAAGCAAGAACTGGCTCCCGATCATCATTCGTCCTTGGTGCCTTGGTAGTGCACCAGCCGGAGTGCAGGCAATTAGAATTATTGAACAGATCTCTTCTTAAATGTCCCATTATACATTTAATCACATCCTGTAAGAGCAGCAAATGCTCTCATAAGGGATCAGTGTGCTACATATCATATTTTAACCCCTTAGGTTTGGAAACTGATGAATCACTCACAAGGGTGATGAGGTATCTGTTTGGTGTCTAGTGGTAGCAATGCACATGTTCTGAGTTTATTTAAGAGGAGAAAGTTAGGCAGTTGCGTTGCCAGGTGCCTGGGGATGAGGGTTCAGATCTTCCCCAGTTAGCTCTGGGATGTCACTGGGCCAGGGCTCAAGAGATACACCAGGGAGCCTTTCTGGCCCCTCTTAGAGGGGCAGGCTGTCTCAAGCTACCAGAATGGTAAATACTTCCCTCCCATAACTTCATCTCTGAACTCAGGAAAAAAAAAAAGAAAATATCTAATTTGAGAAGTCATTTCCTTAATTTTAAAAATTCCTTAAAATTCAAAGTTGACAGCATAGCAAGTCTAATAACATTTTGGTATTTTAATTTAACAGATGAAATTATCGAGAAACACTTCTGCCTATTTTATAAAGGGGGGGTTCTGGTATGAACACATAATGCATTCTACTTACACTGTGGAAGTAAAGCAACCCAAGCAAATCAGTTTTTCTAGGAAAATCTATCAACTTCAAGCAAATCAAATGTCTCAGAGACGTTTGAGACATAAGGGAAAAATGAAAGAGCCACATCCATATCTGTTGTAGATTGTGTTCCCCAAAAAGATAGGTTCAAGTGCCTGGTACCTGTGAATGCGATTTTATTTGGAAAGAGGGTCAGTGCAGGTATAAACAAGTTAAGAGGAGCTCATAGTGGGCTAAGCTGGGCCCTAATTCAAGCACCAGTGTCCTTATGAGAAGAGGGAAATGGGGACAGAAGGAGACAGCTACAGGACAACATGACAGCACAGGAGAGGTTGGAACCATGCATCTACAAGACAAGGGATGCCAAAGATTGTAGGCAACTCCTGGAAATTAGGAAGAAGGAAGCAAGGATCCTATCCTAGAGCCTTCAGAGAGAGTACAACCCTGCCCACACCTTGATCTTGGACTCCCGGCCTCCAAAAAAATGAAAGAATACATTTCTGTTGTTTTAAGCCACCCAGTCTGCTGTACTTTGTTTCTGCAGCCCTGGCAAGCTGAGATCACATTGCGGCTGCCTGTATGGAAGGCTGTCTTTGGTTTCTGTTGCCCACCGCCAGGCCCCCGGCTTCCCTCTCAGTCTGGAAAAGTCCAGCTCTGTTATCTAGAAAGCTCAGCTACCTTACTTGCACCAGAACCTCCAGGTGAATTCCCCAGGCATCTCTGCCTCCTGCTCATGTCCCAGGAAGGCCCCAAGGATGGGGCCAGGCACAGCACAAGTGTGCCTTTGTGGACTCCCTTCTCACAGGAAACTAGGGGTATCCACTCACTCTCCAATAGTACGCTTAAGCCAGGTGGGAGGCAGCCTCCAACACAGGTTAGCTCATTCCCAGTGAGCATTATATATGGTGCCAGGGAGAAGTAGTAGATGAATTTTCTTGGACGTTTTAAGACTCTTGGGTAATCAGGATTTTGCTGCTTTTATATTAATGACAACAACAGAAACAATTATGGCTAACAATTTGTGTCCTTACTTTGGGCTGGGCATTGTGAAAAGCGCTTACTGTGCTCACTGAATCCTCAGAACTCAGGGTTAGGTATTGTCACTTATCCTCATCTTACTGATGAGGATGCCAAGGCTCAGAGAGCTGGCCCAAGGTCTGATTTCCAAGCCTGAATTTCTAGCAAACTGCCTTATTTTCCTCTGCAAAGAGGAACATGTCTTTTCCCTGTCATCTTTGCAGTTACAGACCAAATCCAGCTTTACCTGGTAACAAACACAGCCGCATCCACGGGGGGTGTATCATCCTTCCCTCCTGGAACCTGATTATTGCCGAGGTACCGTGCTCCTCCATACTCCTCATTCTGCCAGTGACAAAAGCTCTCCAGGGACCGCTCGCCATGGTGCCCAATGGACAACTTGGCCTAAAACAAATTGGGGATTGGGGAAGGAGTAGTTAAAAAAAGCAAACAGGGATCCCTGGGTGGCGCAGCGGTTTGGCGCCTGCCTTTGGCGCAGGGCGCGATCCTGGAGACCCGGGATCGAATCCCACATCAGGCTCCCGATGCATGGAGCCTGCTTCTCCCTCTGCCTGTGTCTCTGCCTCTTTCTCTCTGTGACTATCATAAATAAATAAATAAAAATTAAAAAAAAAAGAAATTTAAAAAAAAATAAAAATAAAAAAAGCAAACACCCAAGGAAGCTGGAGTTTATATTTAGAACATTAGTGCAGAGGCAGCTGCTCACTGGGACATCATTCAGTGATGTGCTTCTCCCAAATACAACCCTAATGTGGGTAGAACGGGGCAGAGAACCAGGGAGAGGCCAGGCCTTATTTGTAAGTTTAAATGAAGACTATGGGGGCATCTGGGTGGCTCAGTGGTTGATCAGGTCATGATCCTGGGGTCCTGGGATCATGTCCTACATTAGGCTCCCCAGGGGGAGCCTGCTTTTCCCTCTACCTATGTCTCTGCCTCTTTCTCTGTGTCTCTCATGAATAAATAAATAAAATTAAAAAAAATAAATGAAGACTATTTAAGAAAAATATTCTTTTTGTTTGGGCTGTAACCAACCAAGCACCAGTCCCTCATTTTCAAATTCATTGCCCAACTCCGTAGGCAACATGATCACATGAGAATGCACTCAACTCAAAAATCAGAAAACAATGCTACAATGAATCCAAATTTGGCCTGATGCTGGGAGATAGCTCCAGAAGAGCAGCCCTGGGTTTCCTGAGACCTCAACATCTAGATTTTCACAGGTGAGATGTGCTAGAGTGACAGAAGGGTGCACACAGGCCCACTGCTCAGGGTTCCCTTGAGATTCCAACATGATCACGTGCACACCAAGCTTCTAGTAACAGTACCCACTTCCTCCCACTGGATGTCTCCAGTGCCTGGTCCAGGGCACACTGTTGCCATCTGCAAAGCCCTGGAGAGCAGACAAGACTGACAACCACCAGCACTTCTCCTGAGCACTCAATGGCAACTAGGAGACTTGAAGGCCAGCTACATCATCTGTAAGCCCTAGAGGGTGCCTGTTTGGACTTACAGGCCGTTGTCGTAGCAGGACGAGCTTGGTAACTTGAATGTTCACCTTACTTCCAAGGCTCTGGTGCTGAAACATATTGTACACCTGTCAAGAGAAAACAAAGAAATAATGATGTAAATGTAAAAATTAAGAAAGATACACTGGTGTCCTGGATGGGATCCTGGAACAGAGGAAGATGTTGGATAAAAACTAAGGACATCTGAGTAAACTATGGGTTTTGGTTAATAATCATCTGTCAGAATGCCAAAACAATTATCCAGTAGGCAGAGGACCTGAACAGATATTTTTTCAAAGATGACCTACAGATGGCCAACAGACACAAGGAAAGATACTCAATCATCAGGGAAATGCATATGAAAACCACAATGAGATATGAGCTTACACCTATCAGGATGACTGGTATCAAAAAGACCAGAAATAATAAATGTTGGCAAGGGTGTGGAAGAAAAGGAAGCCTCATGTTGGTGGGAATGTAAATTGGTGCAGCCACTGTGGAAAACAGTATGGAGGGTCCTTCAAAAATTAAGAATAGAATACCATATGATCCAGTAATTCCACCACTGGGTATTTACCCAAAGAAAATGAAAACACTAATTTGAAAAGATAAATGTACCTATGTTTATTTATTATTTCAATAGCCAAGAAGATATGGAAGTAATCCAAGTGTCAACTGATAAATGGATAAAGATGTACTGTATGTAAATACACACACACACACACACACACACACACAAAATGGAACATTACTCAGCCATTAAAAAGAATGAGATCTTGCCCTTTGTGACAATAGGGATGAGCCTAGAAAGTATTAGGCTAAGTGAAAAAAGTCAAAGACAAATACCACCTGATTTCATTTATATGTGGAATCTAAAAAAACAAAATAAGCAAACAAACAAAAATAGACTCTTAAATTCAGAGAACAAACTGATGATTACTAGGGGGGAGAGGCGTGGGGAAATGAGTGACAAAGGGGATGAAGAGGTATAAACCTACAGTTATAAAATAAATCATAAAGACAAAAAGTACAGTATAGGAAATATAGTCAATAAGATCATAATAACATCATTTGGTGACAGATGGTGACTATCCTTATGGGGAGCACTGAATAATGTATAGCATTATTGAATCAATATGCTGTACACCTGAAATATAACATTGTATATTAATTATGCTTCAATAAAAAATAATAATAATACATCAATATTAGTCCATTAGTTATACCATGGTATTGTAAGATATTACTAAGAGGAGAAATTGTATATGGGAACTCTTGATACTATTTGTTCCAATTTTCTATGAATCTAAAATATAAAATACAAATGAATAAAATATAAATGTTTATAAATAAATCATAAAATATAAATTATATTCATTAAAATTATATTCATTTGAAAATTACTTTAAAAAACAGCTTGCATTGTTCCAGTACAAAAAAAACCTAAAGAAAGAATACTTATATGAAATTTAATTTTCAGTGTTCATAAAGTCTCACTGGAATTAAAAAATATATATATATATGAGAAATATGATCCAGATTTTATTTAAAAGGCTTTCTGAGGGGCTCAGTCAGTTGAGCTTCCGACTCTTGATTTCAACTCAGGTCATGATCTCAGAGTGGTGAGATCGAACCCTGCATCAGGCTCCATGCTCAGGGAGGAGTCTCCCTGAGGATTCTTTTTCCCTCTCCATTTGCCCTTCCCCCCATGCTCTCTTTCTGAAATAAATAAATCTTAAAAAAAAAAAGGTCTTCTAAGTCCAAAAAGCTCCCATAAATATGAATTCCCAAAAGAAATATGCATATGATCGACAATTCTGGAATCATACACACAAGTGTGCATATATACACAAAGCTAAGATGGAAATCAGTTGTTTAAAAATAAAAAGGCATAGGACATCAGTTTCCAAAAGAAGCAATGGATATTAGATAATCCTGACAGAAAACTCAAAACTCCCATTCTGGGTTTTTGTGCAGGAGGTTGAAGGGGACTTTAAGTAGGGCAAGGGGGAGCTCAATGCCTGCGGCCATCTGCCATGTACCAGCCTGTGTCACCTCTATCCCTCATCATAACCAGTCAAGGTCAGTGTGTCCATTACCTTCTGCTCATCAAGAGAAAGCCACCTGCTCAAGACCCACAGCCAGTCAACTATGACCCCAATTCATATCCAGGCTTCTCCAGCAGTAAGACCACCACCTCCACCCAAAAAAAAGACCATTCCCTAAACTTATTCTAATGAGTTTAGGGAAGCGCATCATGGAGACAGAGTTATAGTAACAAAAGAGGATTTGTCTACCTCTCATTGGTAGAACTCAATTATAAAGATTTCAATATCAAAAACATCAAAGGAAAGCATTTCAAGGGGAAGAGAGATAGGAAATCTCAAACAAGGCAGAAGAATCAAAGTTGACATGGATGGGAAGAGCCTACTGAATGTGAGGATCCCTGGATCCCTTTCCTATAATATGGACAAAGCAGGGTATAATGGGATAGATCATGTAGGTGGTAGTGGAAGATATAGAGAGAACACGGATAAGAGTCTTTTGAACACATCAGGAAATATTTCAGCTTCACTGTGTCCTGGTTGTTTATTTTTTATAGTTTTATTGAGATACTATTGATATATAACATTGTGTTATTTTTAGGTGTACAACATGATTTGACATATGTATATACTGTGAGATGATCACCACAATCAGTTAACACTCATCCCCTGGCATAGTTACAATTGTTCTCTTGTGAGGAACTTTCAAACATATGACATAGTATTATTAACTATAGTCACCGCACTATACATAACATGCCCAAGACTTAAAACTGGAAGTTTATAGCCTTTGACCCCCTTCATCCATTACCCACTCCATAAGCAAACTCTTCTCTGTATCTATGGGTTCAGCCTTTTTAGACTCCACATAAAAATGAGATTATACAGTATTTATTTTCCTCTGACTTCTTTCACTTCGTTTTGAATTGTCTACTTTTTTTTTTTTTTCCTGACAGACACAATCTACAAGGGAGAATTTCCAGCAGGGGCATTAAGATTTTCTCCAGTTGGCACTGTGTTCCTCAGTCCATCAGCAACAACATAAAGCAACAACCAAAGCAGACAGTGTAGCCACAGTTAACTCAGGCCATGTGAAGCTGGACACAGAGTCTGGCATACAAACGTCAGAAGCCAGGCATGCACAATGTTTCAGCATCTGTGTGACAAAGGAATTAGCTGTGTCATTGCTTGGATCTTACTCTTTGAAAACCATTATTAAAGCAAAAGAAAATCTTTGTGTAACTTAATATTCTTTCCCACAAGGAAAAACAGAACACATTTAGTTGTTCTGTTCTTACTCCATACCTCCTCCAATTTTTCCCCCCACAAACAAAATAGTAGTCATTTTTTTTCTTTTTCTTTTTTCTCTTCTTTTTTTTTTTTTTTTTACACTGGACTATCTGTAAGCCAATTCTGAAGTCATGTCTTAATTACCTATCCTCAAACCTGGGTGAAGAAGGGGAAAACACATAACTTTTTCCTTGTTTTGATATTTTGAGAACCACCCAATGGCTGCAACTCAAATTTTTCCAAAAATATTCAGCAGTAGGATTGGGCCCAAACTGGAAAACCTCAATTCAAAACATGAAAAATAGGAAGAACGAAAATCTGCCGCAGTTCTGAGGGAGAAACGTCAAGTCATACAGGATTTCAAGGTACAATTTAGTTATAGCCTAGAACATCAACATCAGCCAGGGATGTTAAAGGATATTGTTTAAAGGTTTCATGGAATAACACAGTAAAGCACTCTTCAGTGGTTATTGTGACATGCCACATAAAAGCAGCATCAAGAACTCATGTTAAAAGGTGCAAATTTCAGGAAGGAAAAACTATAGGAACAATCTCCCTGGTCAGAAAACTTCCATTTCCTCCTCGCTCAGCTGAGGATAGTTCTGTGCATTCTATTCAACCACTACCCCAAAGACTCAGTCACTTCTCTTGGGGCAAGTGCTCAAGACGGATGTGAGATGGAGGGGAGACAAGGCTTCATGCTTCTGGGGCTGGGAGTTCTGCAAGAGACTGGTTGCGCAACAATGTGAATATACTTATATTGAACTGTACACTTACAAATGGCTAAGACGATAAATTTAATGTGTATCTTACTGCAATTAGAATTCTTTGAATTAATTTTTGGAAAGAAGCTTCATGCTCTAGCAACATTCTCTACAAGCCTGAAGGCAGGCATTTCCCTGTGACAGGTACCTAGGGTGCTCACTTCCAGGAAAGCATATCTGGGAGCCTGACCATGGCTAGAGCACCTCGTCACCTGACGTGAGCCATACCACGTTCCCACAAAGCTGGGCAGAGCACAGAGCAGGGCAGATGCACAAGGATCTCCCTGGCAGCCCAGAGCCAAGCCACACGAGCCAGATGAAAATCTGACGACAGCCACAAACACAAAGCAGCAGGCCCCAAAGACATGTAACAAAGTCTTCTCGTCTTTTTTTCCCATGGAAATTCATGCTCAGGAGAAGTCCTGGAGGTGGCAGCCATATGATGTTTAGGGAGACACCTGGTTGGGCAAGGAACAGCACGGCCAATCGTCTGGAAATTTTGTCTCCGGCGTCCAGCTCTGGCTGCCTCCTGGCAAGTGTTCAGAGCCCTAGCTGCATTTGTCACATTTCCTTGGCAGCCTGGGGGCCAAGCTGGGTGGACCTGCTGCCAGCAGCACAACGCAGCTCTCCTGGCTGGGCAACTGGACAGGGCCAGAGAAGAAGCAAGTGACATGTGGGGGAGGAGCTGTTCAGGGTGCCCATGCAGGGTTTCACAAGAGCACCACCTACCTGTGCTATTCGGGGCCTCTCCTGGGACAGACAGGGATTCAAATTATATTTGGTCCCCATTTCAGAGCCCCCTACAGGAAATTACTCTCTAGCACAGTGCCCCCCGAGTGGGGTTCCTGAAGCAGCAGCACCAAAGTCACCTGAGCATTTGCCGGAAATACATTCTGGAGCCCACCCCAGAACCACTGAGGGAGCCTGGGGGTGGGCCTGGCCACCTGCATTTTACAATCCCCCTGGTGGCTTCTTCTGGATGGCTGCTGG